GAGGGGGGATGGGCTAAATGGGTAAGGGGCATTAAAGAATCTACCTCTGAAATCATTGTTGCACTATATGCTAACTAACTTGGATGTAAATTAAAAAATAAATAAATACAAATTAAAAAGATTCTCTCCCTCTGCCCCTTGCACACTGTCTTTTTAAAATAAAAAAAAAAGAGTGATAAAACAGTAGAAAAATAGTGGCTTTCCAAATGTAATAGATCAGATTTTTGGCTATTGGAATTAGTAAATCTAAAGAAGAACATTTTTAAAGGATAATCCAGTTTTCAAATAGGTATATTTCACTAGGATGGCCTAGAAGAACCTTAAGTTGTCTAAGTAGTTTTCTTAAAGTTAAGAGTGTTCCCTCATTGTTAAAAAGAAAAAAAAAACCTATAAAATACAGAATGTAGAAAGAAAAAAACCACAACAGCTGTAGATGGGTTGGTGTATTTATTTTAAGGTGGGCTTATTTTGGATGGCCAGTTACAAAAGTCCCTTATAGCTGATGTGTGCCTGTGCATCCCAGACTGTAAAATTCACCTGCGTCTTCAATGTGCCAAAGGCATCCTGTGGGTTGTCTCACTTCCAGGAACCAGGTTATTTACTGCAAAGTGGCTCTGAACTCCACCTTGAGAAGCAGAGCTCCACAGGTATATTTTCTGAACATGTAGAAAGCCTGGCAACTTTGGCTTATTCCTGTGGGGGATTAGGTTTATGTTGTAGGCATCAAACTTTCATGGAAACAAATACCCAATACAAGGTATAAATGTCATTTCTGTTTCTCCTCAAAGCTCACACAGGATTCTTTGAGACTTGATGCTTTTAACCTCCTATCAGAATCCAAGTTGGTCCTTTGCCAGTGATGCAGCTAACCAAACTGATTAAACTATTGAAAGGCAAAGCAATGTACACATTTTTTGTGAAACTGAGGAAACTTTGGTTCCTTTGTGTGGGCTTTTGTATTTGTAGAAAAAAAACTAACACAAGGTATAAATACCATTTCTGCCTTTCCTCACTGCGTACATAAGATACATTGAAATTTGAGAGGCATCTGCGTGGCTCAGTGGTTTAAGCGTCCGACTTCGACTCAGGTCACGATGTCACGGTTTGTGAGTTAGAGCCCCGTGTTAGGCTCTGTGCTGACAAGCTCAGAGCATGGAGCCTGCTTCAGATCTGTGTCTCCCTCTCTCTTTGTCCCTTCCCCGCTCGCACTTTGTCTCTCTCAAAAATAAAATAAACATTGTTTTTAAAAAAAGATACAATTAATTTGATTTTTTTTACACTTGCTGCCCTTTGAGATTGACACTTTGCCTCTGATGCGGAGAACCAAACTTTTTGAAATCAAAAAGGAAAACAAAAGGCTAATATATCAGAAAATAATACATAAACTGAAACAGTTATGGGAAATGAGACTTTAATTTTTAAGTCATAGGTCTAAAACTTCACCCAGATTCCTTGTGAGAAAGAAGCCATCATGATTTAATTATGGCTTTTCTATTAGGTACCCCTACCCCATGGAGCTCAGTAGAATTAGGCATTTGTAAGAGTATAGCAAATGTTAATGAAATAAATGAATGAGTGAATCTAATTATAATGGCTCTGTAATGTTCTGTGAGAAATAAGCAGTTGATCTAAATACCTCACTCCATATAAACCATTGTTTATATAACAGAAACCACCTGCCCCATCAGGAACCACTTAACCTCAGAAACCACTGCTAACTTCCTCCTGGTCAAATCACTTTTTGCTGCTTCTATTTTTTGAACTTGTTGCTACTTTTTTTTTTTTTAAACGTTTATTTTATTTTTGAGACAGAGAGAGACAGAGCATGAACGGGGGAGGGTCAGAGAGAGGGAGACACAGAATCTGAAACAGGCTCCAGGCTCTGAGCTGTCAGCACAGAGCCCGACGCGGGGCTCGAACTCACAGCCCGTGAGATCATGACCTGAGCCGAAGTCGGACGCTTAATCGACCAAGCCACCCAGGCGCCCCTCGTTGCTACTTTTGATGCCGCTGAAGATTCTTGTTTTGGTTTTTGCTTTGAGCTTGTAATGTCCTGCTTTCTTTCCTTTTTACTGCCCTTTCTAGTTTACTTTACTGTCTTAATTTCCTCCTGCTTTCAAGTGTGGCTTCCCCCCAAAGGCTTGCATTTGACTTTCTGCTCTTATATTCCGCTGACCTTGGAAGGATTAAATGTAGAGGATCATCAGGCCTAACTAACCCTTTGCTCTCTGGTTGTGCACTTTAATTTTTAAATATTAATATTTAAAATATTAAAATATATTTAATATTTTAATATATTAATATATATTTATATATATCATATATTAAATATATATTAATATATAATATTTTAAATATGTTAAATATATAATATATATATAAATTATATATATATAAATTTATATATTTTATAAATATATATTTATATATTATATAAATACATAAAATATATATATAATATATTATATATATTTATAT